TAAGATTTTGTTCAAACGGTTGCAATTGGTCTTCAGGTTAGGCAGCCCAGTACGCTGGTACTGCCTACGAATCTTGTTGCGGAGTCTAATGAGGTCTTTAGTAGGTCTGTCAAGGTTCAGAGTATTACTCACCTGTCTGGATACTGGCACATGTAGCTCCCTGGCCCGGGAAATTGCTTGATCGATGGAGCGCAGACACCGGTCAACATCTTCGGACGATTCCGGTTGGACATCGTAGTCTACAGCGGTGTCGACGCAATGTTGGAACTGACCCCAGTCAATACGATGATAGTTGCGCCGGAAAGCTTCAAATCGATTTACGGAGGATCCCACCTCAGTCACCACCGGGTAGTGGTCCGAGCTGAGTTCCTGATAGGTGATAGGTTGAGCGATGTTGTTGCCCATGTTGCTGATGAAGATATCGATGGTAGCGTGAACACCGGACCGACTCAACCGGGTGGGAGTTTCCGGACTCAAGATGTTGTACTGCGCTTCCTGCAGGTCGTTGTTCAGGATGGTGCCGTTTTGGTTGCGCCGATTGTTGCCCCAAGCTTGATGTTTGGCGTTCAGGTCGCCAGCGATGATAAAGTTTTCCCGTCGTCGTGTTAGCTTGATAATATCTCGTCGCAGATCTGCTGCCGATCCGTCCCTGATGTTGACTTGTTTGGGGCAGTAAGCCGCGACGATGGTGATGGGGCCGATAGGAGTAGAAACTTCCACCCCTACGGCTTCGATGATCTTCAGCTGAAAGCTGGGCATCAGTCGACAGCAGATGTTTCTCCTTATTGCAATAGCCACTCCTCCTCCTCCAGAGTTGGTTCGATCTAGCCTCACGAGCCGGAAATCGGGAAGGTAGACGTTTGTTTCAGGCTTCAGGTGGGTTTCAGTTATGATGGCAATGTCGATGTTTCGTTCATTGAGAAACTCAACAAACTCGATGTTTTTGCTCTTCAAGGAGCAAGCGTTCCAATTTACGATCTTGATGGCTTCACGGTCCATACTTAGTGACAAGGGACAGGGCAGCATGAAGCTGTTCAGATCGAGTCTTGCAGGTGCGCAAGATGATGATGACCTCGGCCACGAGCGTCACAAGTTCCTCCGAGGAGAACGGAGAATCGTCGACAGGCTCACCTGAGACAACACCAGCGTATGATAAACCAGGGGCGGTGGAGGGACCTGGCATTGGCTGGGCAGCAGCAGCAGCGAGACGATGCTGGACAGTTCGATTGTTAGGAATACTCACATGCTTGACTTGTTGGTTGACAAAGTTTTTGGTGCGTACTCTACTTTTAAACATTTTAATATTTCATCAGCCACTGCTGATTGGCTGTTACTTCGCAACGCAAAAAGGATAGAAAAGTGTACTATAAAATACAATCTTGATTGTGATTGGTTGTTGTTATGTTAGTAGGGAGGCCGTTTTCCCGCGGCTATCTCGGGGTTAGTAAAAAAAAAGGATGAGGAGGAAGGAAGGGAGATTTTTTTCTGCTGCTGATGCGTTGACGGTCGGTAAACTCAGGACGTTTACAGTGCCAGCAGCGGTGCAGGGTCGTCTCGAAACTTAAACAGTCCGAAAGCAAGCAAAGATGAAGTAGTGTGCCGGGCAGATGTGAAGGCATCTAGTGAAGTTTTGCGGAGACCTGTTGTTTGTAAACTGGCAGTTCTTGATGTTCGTGGTGATGCGGAAGTCAAAGCAGAGATTCGAGGAGGTGCTGAATTCGGAGCAGAAATTAGCGGAGACGGTGACGTTGAAACAGTGTTCGAGCGACACGAGGGGAGAATGTTCCGACAAGTGATTCCATTGGACAGAGGAGATAAAGGATCGTTGTGGCGTTAGAAACCTTAGATTGATAAGAGATCATCATCATGTTATTGATTTGTCATCATTGTGTTAGGAAGTGTATAGAAGCACAATTTTACAAGTCAATTACAATCCATACTTTATTATGCCTAATTAGATTATTTTAGTTAAAACTAATTACAGGTTAATCTTAAAATAATTTTGAATTTATTAAACATATTGGAATTGTGAATAACGTAGCTTTAGACCGATGGTATGTAGATTGTATTGAACTAAAATAACTTCAAACTCATAATAATAAACTTTATAGCTTTGAGCTGTCACAACACAAATAAGACGATTCGCTACAAAGAGCTCAGAAAAGTACATTTTCGCAACAGGACTAGACACATTTTCATGATTCTGGGACTCTAATGAACATACTTTACAAAAAAATTCCCTGATGATGACAACATTTCCTTATAATTCCAGGCTTTTGAGGTCTATTAAAATTCCATGATAATTCCAGGTTTTCAAGGTGCATTTTCGAAATATTTGAGCTAATTTATTTCATTTGCCAACATCGAGTGAATGTGAGTGAACGTGATTCTCTATTCGATAGTTAATTTCCGCGAAATTTGGAAATCCTATTACTGCGCACTGAATGCTGAGATGTGAAGCGCAGTTCTACCATAGAGGTAACTCTAAGACTAGAAGATCCCGAAATACCGTGCTCAACTTTTTTGCTCAGCTCTGGTACTCTCTTCGGTCCCAAGCTAATCGATTCACCCCTCGAAAATTCACTAACCCCTCATTTTATCTGTCAAACTTTCATAGTGCAGTTCTACCCAGTGCGTCACAATATCGGCTTCAATCGACAAAATAGATACGACGAAGAAACTGCTAGTTTTATTTTTTCTGTTGCAGTCGAGCAGCTTTGCATCATTCTAGCACCTCAGTTGACGTCTATAAACAAATTGTCTATCGCTATTCTTTCTTTCTCCCGTCGCATCATTCGTGTTCCTTTCAAGCTTCGGTGAAGCGGACGAGTGAAAGAGCTAGCCTTTCATGGAGGTGTTCAATCGAAGTTGCGCAGAAATCAAAATATATATATTTAATGCATTTTGCACATGTAAACATTTGAAGATTGCAGATACTATCTTTCCTCCACATGTTTATTTTAAATAAGTAACGAGAGCAGGTGACAAAGTGTCGGTGAAAGAAATTGAAAGTCAATGTGGTGAGGTTGCGTTTCAACTCGAAAACCGATGCTGCTTTCATTGAAAGAAAATGGGCAAAGCAAGGCGAGAAAAAGTACAGCCTGGCTGTAGAGCTTCGAAAATGTAGAGCCCTGGCTCTTCCTTTAATATCTCGAGAGCTGGTGTTTGGTTCCTTGTTATTCAATAGTTCGATAACCTGAGCATGTCCATTTCAAGCTGTCAACTGCAGTCTTCGTCGACCATGTTCACATCTGTAACATTTTTTATGACCATGCCATGCTGCGCTATGAAGCAGAATTCTACCGGTGATTGAACTAATGTGATCTTTGCGTATGGGTTAGCATCCGTACCTCTTACGCCAAAGTCACGAGTTCAAATCCCTCCAAAGCCACATATGAAACAAGACCGCTAAATTGACTAAAGTAAGAGTAGAAAAATTAAAACAAAAACAAAAATAAAAGCAAAAGAAATACAAAAAATCACTTTAAATTGAAGAGTGGCACCGTTGCTAATCAACAGTTCGAACAACTGGTAGTGAAAATTTCGAGCTGCCAAATGAAGAGCAGTCCATCCATCTTCATCCACTGCATTCACATCAGCATTGTTTGATATCAAGAGCTCTGCAACGTTCTCATGACCTTTGAGTGCTGCGATATGAAGTGGAGTTATACCGGTATTTGAACAAATGTTAACAGTGGCTTTTTTTTTAATCAACAGTTTGATCAACTGATCGTGTCCATTTTGAGCTGCTAAATGAAAAGCAGTCCATCCATCTTCTTCCACTGCATTCACGTCAGCATTGTTTGATATCAAGAGCTCTGCAACGTTCTCATGACCATTGAGTGCTGCGATATGAAGTGGAGTTATACCGGTATTTGAACAAATGTTAACAGTGGCTTTTTTTTTAATCAACAGTTGGATCAACTGATCGTGTCCATTTTGAGCTGCGAAATGAAGAGCAGTCCATTGTTTTTCATCCACTGCATTCACGTCAGCATTGTTTGATATCAAGAGCTCTGCAACGTTCTCATGACCTTTGAGTGCTGCGATATGAAGTGGAGTTATACCGGTATTTGAACAAATGTTAACAGTGGCTTTTTTTTTAATCAACAGTTGGATCAACTGATCGTCTCCATTTTGAGCTGCTAAATGAAGAGCAGTCAATCCATCTTTATCCACTGCATTCACGTCAGCATTGTTTGATATCAAGAATTCTGCAGCGTTCTTATGACCATTGAGTGCTGCGTTATGAAGTGGAGTTTTACCGGCAATTGAATAAATGTTAACAGCGGCTTTTCTTTCAATCATCAATTGGATAAACTGATCGTGTCCATTTTGAGCTGCTAAATGAAAACCAGTCCATCCATCTTCTTCCACTGCATTCACGTCAGCATTGTTTGATATCAAGAGCTCTGCAGCGTTCTTATGACCTTTGAGTGCTGCGATATGAAGTGGAGTTTTACCGGTATTTGTACAAATGTTAACAGTGGCTTTTTTTTTAATCAACAGTTTGATCAACTGATTGTGTCCATTTTGAGCTGCTAAATGAAAAGCAGCCCATCCATCTTCTTCCACTGCATTCACGTCAGCATTGTTTGATATCAAGAGTTCTGCAACGTTCTTATGACCATATTGAGCTGCTAAATGAAGAGCAGTCCATTGTTTTTCATCCACTGCATTCACGTCAGCATTGTTTGATATCAAGAGTTCTGCAACGTTGTTATGACCATTTTGAGCTGCGATATGAAGTGGAGTTCTACCGGTTATTGAATAAATGTTAACAGTGGCTTTTTTTTTAATCAACAGTTGGATCAACTGATCGTGTCCATTTTGAGCTGCTAAATGAAGAGCAGTCAATCCATCTTTATCCACTGCATTCACGTCAGCATTGTTTGATATCAAGAATTCTGCAGCGTTCTTATGACCATTGAGTGCTGCGTTATGAAGTGGAGTTTTACCGGCAATTGAATAAATGTTAACAGCGGCTTTTCTTTCAATCATCAATTGGATAAACTGATCGTGTCCATTTTTAGCTGCGAAATGAAGAGCAGTCAATCCATCTTCTTGCGCTGCATTTACGTCAGCTTTGTTTGATATCAAGAGCTCTGCAGCGTTCATATGACCATTGAGTGTTGCGTTTTGAAGTGGAGTTCTACCGGTATTTGAACAAATGTTAACATTGGCTTTTCTTTCAATCAACAATTGGATCAACTGATCGTGTCCATTTCGAGCTGCTAAATGAAGAGCAGTCCATCCATCTTCTTCCACTGCATTCACGTCAGCATTGTTTGATATCAAGAGTTCTGCAGCGTTCTTATGACCATTGAGTGCTGCGCTATGAAGTGGAGTTCTACCGGTTTTTGAACAAATGTTAACATTGGCTTTTCTTTCAATCAACAATTGGATCAACTGATCGTGTCCATTTTGAGCTGCTAAATGAAGAGCAGTCCGTCCATATTCATTCACTGCATTCACGTCAGCATTGTTTGATATCAAGAGTTCTGCAGCGTTCTTATGACCATTGAGTGCTGCTAAATGGAGAGCAGTCCTTTGTGTTTTATCCACTGAATTCACGTCAGCTTTATTCTTTATTAAGAATTCACATATTTCAACAAACCCACCTTGCGCAGCAACCAGTAACATAGCTGTTAGGTTTTTTGTTGAGAATGATTTAAAATTTGGTTCAAAAGAGGAAATGATACTCAAACAGTCACACTCACATGCCCAAAGTGCAATCTCCCAGTTTTTTTTACACAGATTACTTAAGATCGTTAGGTATGCCTGGTTTCCTTCCATCTTGGTCATAGAAAATCTTCGAACACCATGATTTGTAGACAAAATGTGTATGACAATTTCTCCTGACAACGTAAAAATGTTGTCGCACAGATATGTTGCCACAAAGTATTCACTGTAAGACCGATGGCAAAAATCAACCTTCTGTTGGACTACATGAACCAGTTGTGATGTATCTGATTCATGTTCGCATCGTTTTTTAAATTGACCGTGTATTTCTCTATAATATTGATTTTTGAACAATTCCTTACGTACTCCAATGTTTAGCAGCTCCATAGCTAACAACTGATGCTTCAAAATAAAATCACCCATCAACGAATCCAATTCAGCGTCGCTCAGAGCAGATTTGGGCTTGAATTTTTCCATTAATTTCTTGTGAAAACATTTTCTTACAAACTGTTTGTACAGCTGTGTAATATTCATTTTTTCTTTAGTCAGATCAATGAACTGATTTGTGTTCTGTTTCTTCAATGAATGGTAATTTTTAAATTTTTCTAAATAAACTTCTCCCAGCATATTTACCATGAGAGGCGCGCCACAAATTTCACCAAAATTTGAAGGGATAGTTGATTTAAATTTGTTTAAAATATGATTCGAGTAGCTATCAAAGCAATGTTCATCTAGATCTGGGTCGTACCACATCTTTCTCAAATAGTTGATTTGCTCTTCCACACAGAACGGCTCCAGAAACATAGATCTTACATTAAATTGCTCCTCTAATGATAATTGCATATGTTTTCTGGCGCTGATAATGATTCGAATGCTCTCTTTTAACTTGAGTTGTTCCAGCATCTCAATCACTCTGTTGGTGTACTTGGAGTGGATCTCGTCGAAGCCATCCATCTCTATAAGAATGGAATAGCCTTGACCATCCCTTTCATCTGGGGCATTTTTAATGACATCGAAATATCGTTTTGAAAGGATCACTTTGAGGACATTAAGCACATCATCCAAGCTTGAAATGTGTTCTACTTTTTCGAGCTCCATCACCAACTCGCTTAAGTATACCAACAGTACAAGGACAGTATTTTGCTTCTGCACTTCAAACGCTACAAACTGAAGCAAGCTTGTCTTCCCTATTCCAGGGTCTGCCAGAAGTACGATGATCTGATGGTCTTCAAATGTTTTCCCAAGCTCTTCAACAAACTGAGCGTCACTCATCTGTCGTGAAAGTTCCTGAATGTTGTCTTTCATACCTGTTTTCTCAACTTCTAAGACATCTTTGGCATTGGTCGGTTTACTATATGTGTATATAATACGGCGATTGATGTAATATTTTTGCAATTGTTTTGCTTCCTTACCTTCAAGGTTCTCGTTATCATTTCTAATTTCACTAAGACAGTTTAGTATATCACTTTGTTTCAAAATTGCCTTCATTTTATTCTTTTTGCGTTTATTGAGTTGGTCAAATTTTAATTCTAGATCTCTAAATATCAGATCGATGTTACTCAGTTTTCTGAGTATATCAGGACAGATCCACGTCTCACACCACGTCCACAGCTCGCTTTCAATAATTGGGTATAAATCATATGGTTGACCCACCAATAGAGAAAAGTCGTCGAAGAATGGCAAAATTTCCTCCTCACTAACATAACGTGGCAAATGTTGCACCCTTGAATTTTTGAGTAAAAAGCTATTCACTCTTACTGTCTTCTTCATATCAAACTTATCTTTTTCTAGAGCATTAAATAGTTGGGCAACATTGAATTGCTCGCTTTCCGAGTTGAAGGTATCTAAAAAACTGCATTTCTTTTTTTTTATTGTTAAAACGTCTTTCAGAGGAGTACTATAGGTTTCTAAAATTTTACTGACGGTTCCATTGATGAAAAGCTCTTTGATTGCCTCTTTAAGGTTTGCGAAATCTTTGTTGATAAAATCGCTCAACTCCCTAATCGCTTCTTTGGTTGGAACCAGTTTCAGGTGTCGGGCCTTGGATCCAGGAAATCGTAGGATTTCATCTACTTCTACCTCTTTAGTCGTCACCCAATCGTCATCGGAGATTTTTAAATCCCTATTAGTAAATATATAGAACTGCTTTTCGTATTGGTCTTTCTGAAAATTTTCAACAACTTTCAGATAGGATTCCAGGTATTTGTAAATACTGAAGTCTCCGTTGTGTTGATCTTTTAGTGCATTCAAATCGATATCATTTACCATGCCATCTCTGGCAAGGGCGTGCTTCACCTGGAGGAAGTGTATCACCTTACGCTTATCGTCAAAGATCACTACGTCATCATACTTGTCGGCTAGTGTCATTTCATATGCCAATCTGAAACTTTTTCTCTGCATCCGTAGAAAAAGCGCGATTGAAATTTGTTTTTGGTATACTTCACCGTGGTAGCCTGTTCTGCTTCTTCTTTCATATGTTCCGTGTTGTATTAGGTTCAGCATTTTGAATCACCTGGAGAATAGAAGAGAAATAACGCATTAGCGAATGTGACAAAGTTGCTACAGTTTGACAATGGTGACATTTTTTCACCGCAACAACAGTCCTGTAATGGAGCAGCCAAATGACTTCTCTGATTTGCAAGTTTGTCATGGGCAATGATTCACATTTTGGATAAAATTCGGCCATTTTGAGCCTTGTTAAATTTTCAAAATGGCATCTTTTAAATTTTTGAAAAAAATGTTTCATGATCGAAATGACGTCTAAGACAAAGTTGTAATGAAAATTAATATTTGTATAGGAAAAATATACAAACATGTGGTTTCCATTAAAACTAAAAAAAAAACTAATTCCCGACGAGAACGTTATAACAAAATTATATCATGATTGTATCAACTTCTGTTATATATAACAACCGTTGATATAATCTTGCTTTAAGTGCTCTGTGGTGGAATGAGGAATAAAAAATCATCATGGTATTTGATATAAAATTGTTACACAATTTGTTGGAAAAAAAAATTAAAACAACATTTTAACTAAGTTTGTTAGCATTAGTAGGGTTCGAATCCCTGTGGCAGCTATAAAGACGCTCTTTGTGCTTGTAAAGCAGGTTAAAGGTAGAGAGAGGGGGTGCTGTGTTGGGGGGGGTGCTCTACGCAGATGATTTTTTAAAATATTTTATCAACAATCTAAAAATAGAAAACACTAAAAAAAATATGTTACCGAAAAACCGTGTTAAAAAGTTTAGTTCAAATCGTTTTTAGTTTTTACCCTAATGGGTTATTTTTTAACAAGGTGTGTTAAAAATATGATATAACCCCAACAATAGTTGTTATATTCTTGATAGCACGTAGAAGGTTTCTTGTTATATTTTTTGTTATTTAAACTACTAACGGTACATGTTTTATAACAGACCATGTTACGAATAATTTTATATCTCAGTAACACAGTGTGTATTATTTCTGATACTTCGGGAATTGCCTGTATTAATGAGATTTTAAGCTGGTTCAGCTCCCAAAAGTGTTAAAACCAAAATATCTCAAAATGATTTTGTCCGTTTTTTTTTAATTAAAAAAATCTTAGAAAGTTCACACTTTTGGAATGTTTACAAATATCCACACCTAAAAATTGGCGAAAATCGTAGAACAAGAACTTTTTGTTTGAACCTTTTTTTTCATATAATTTATACTCAGAAAACAATGTTCAAGGCATTTTCAATAATTTTCTTAGAGAAAATAAACATAAAAGCGTACCTACCAAAATTCAAAAAAAAAATACCAAAAATTCATGATCTACATTATTTGTCAGTTTTCAAGTGTCCGGGCAAGGAAGTTTTGAGATTACATTTGTGTTAATTTTTTACTTAAAATAAATTATGAGCATTTTTTGGGAACAGAAAGACATTATTTTCGTCTGCAACGTTGTTTCAGACATCATTTTAAGCAGGAACGCCATTTTGAAAATTTACAAGTCACAAAATGAATGAATTTTAGCAGAAATGTGAATCACTGCCCAAAACAAACAATCAAGCAAAGTGTCACAAAAATCGAAGAAGATCGACACAAAAATTTATGTTTTTACGCTATTTTGCCAGGAGCTTCTTAGTTCCTCACTCGATCTTCTCCGATTTTCGTGACACTTTTCATAATTGATTGTTATGAATCTCGCAAAAATCTTGGCATAAAGGGTGTATTCGATTAAAATGGCCCACACATATTTACTCACCAAAATTAAACCGATTATCAGATTTTCTTGAAACTTTCAGGGAACGAAAAACTACTAATGAGTTATGATTTACCAAATTTGATTTATTCAATGTCGTCTCCCATCCCGAATGCCCACCCCTTCCTTTTCACTCCACTCATCAAATTTTGTACAACCGATTCTCCCAGTATATTTGCTGTTTTTACCTAAATTTTCTTCAACTCCAGCTCTGTTTTGATAGTTTTGGGATGTTTGTTTAGAAGTTTCGTCTTCATAATTGCCCAGAATTTGTCAATTGGGTGAAGTTTTGGTGAATTTGGTGGGTTCATATCTTTTGGGACAAAATTGACTCCGTTGGCTCGGTACCACTCCAACACGTTTCGAGCGTAGTGGCAGGCAGGATGCTAGATCAGGACAAAACATAGTTGTTCCTTTGTGCTTCCTTATGAATGGCAAGAGACGCTTCTTAAGGCACTCTTCCATGTAAATCGCACCGTTGATTGTTCCGGAAGTGTTCTTCTTTCGAACCTCCTCCGGAATATCGAATTTAGACTTGGCAACGAAATATTCTTGCCCAGGAAATTGACGGAAGTCGGCCATGACGTAAGTTTCATCATCCATCCATCATGCAACACGATTTGGTGAGGAACTGCGTGTAAAGTTAAATTGACATGTTTGAACAGTTTTTGAACTGTTGAACCACTATCCTGGCCATTTCACTGTCCATTGGGCCACTTTTAAGACCACTACCTTCCTTCCTTCAGGCAGTCAGATGCTCCTTGAAGGTTCTTATCACACTAGACACAGTTGTATTTGCAATTCCAAGCTTTTTAGTGATCCATCGGTGGAACGCCACTGCATTTTGATTGTATGTGCACAAAATTTACTGTATGAATAATTATGAAACTTGACAGATGTAAACAACACACGATGTATAAGATTTACTAAAATGTTCAGGTCTTTTACTCATACGGAAGATTTTCGGTTTGCCTTTTTTATCGAATACACCCTTTATGCGATCTTTATCAACAACTCATAACTCGGGAACGTCCTTTCCAATCGAAATGACGTCTGAGCAATGTATAATAATTGCTTTTCAGGAAAAATAAACACGATTCCAAATTTCAAGTGATCGAAAAAGTGTTGAAACTAAAATGAAAAAAATAACAATTATTCAATGTTTTTTTTTTAAATATTGTTCGTTCGAAATCTTTAAAAAATGCTTTCTTCTGTGAAATGTTCAAGTTTGCCTCTTAAAACATAACAAAATTTATTGATCCACAACTTTTGATACTATTTTTGAATATTTTATATTAATTTTCTTTTTGTAATTTTTTTAATTTTTTTTTTGTTGGTTTCGATGTGGTTTTCTGAGCAACATTTAACAATAAAAAACCTTAGCAAAAGTATTTCAATTTGGCCAAAGATGTTGTTTTATGATTTTCTTTGAGTAATCTAACATGAAAATTTCACAGGTGATGTTTTTTTAAGTTTTTTAAGGGAAAATATAAAAAAAATGCAGATGGTTGGCTTTTGCTTTCAATGAACAACATTTATCGTTTATATTTAAATAGTCCTGCAAGGTCGTTGGATAATTCGTCCGTGGACAATTGTTGTTCATTTTAGCAGTTGTTTATCGGAAGTCCGTGAGCAAAGCAGAAGAATTTTTTTTTTGTGAACTAGAACCCGTGAGTTCCATTGGTCCAGCAAATCCATCCATTGTTAAATATAAGCTAACTCAGCAGAACTAGATGTATCCCTAGTAGCACGCTTGTCACATATCGGTTGTAGAAACTTCTTTACGACTTATTTCAGTCATAAACAAGTTGCTGCAACTTTTCTTAACGGAAGTGTGCTTCGGGATTGTTGTCATGATTGCAAACATGGGAAAAATCGTTTCAGTTTGTATTTACGACTCCCTCACACAACAAATTCGAGCCGCGCTGATTTCGTTGAACGCAGAATTGAGCAAAATATTTGTATGTTGAGCCTTTAACGATCTAATTCTGCTGAGTGAGCTGAGTGAAAATTTTGCAGAAAGAATCTCTTTTTTATTATCTAACAGTGTGGCCACAGAACCGGGAAAACCGAAAAAAAAACGGGATATTTTTTTTTTTCCCTTATTCTCAGTTCACGCTTGTTTTTCCTCTTTCAGCGTCTTCGGCAAAGCTTGACAATCGTCAGAACGCATCATTATGCGTTTTCTTTCGATTGGCTGCGTTGCGGTTCATGTGTATAGTCCATAAAATGTGCGTCTCTTAAAGAGCTTTCAAAGTCTCTTGAAGATGACTTTCATGAAAAATTTGAAATAAAAAAATTAAAGGGTTGTGTCCTAGACACGACCGCAGTATGACGTAGAACCTATCTATCTATCTCTTTCTATGATGCATGATTTATGCATTTAGGTTAACATCCGACGTCCCTCCTTTTTACATATTTTGCAGAAAAAAATACATCCGAAGTCTCTCCTTTTTTACATATTCTGCACAAAACATACTTTCTAAGCCCCGCAACTGACAGGATTTCGCGCCATTTTATTATGAATGGGGGCGGGGCAGAACGTTTCTTTTGTGCAGAATATGGAAAAAATGATGGACTTTGGATGTTAATATAATTTCATGTATAGAGGTACCAGATATGTTTTACAGTCAGTTGTGTGTAATTCACCAACATAATATCATCGAATATGTCTTCAAGCCATTTGTTTTTCTCAAATTTGAAAGTTTTGGTGCGGGAAGAAATTAAGGGAAAAACTTCTGTTTTTACTAATAATTGTGGTTTGTTTAAAATTTATTTCCCGGAAAAAATTGATCGTCAAAGTCCATGTCTTTTTCGGGTTATTGTTGAGGGGGGGGGAGAGAGGTTGTTGTGAAGGGGGGAGGGGGTTTACATACATTGCTTTTCCTCATTCCTCATTGTGTCTCATTCTTCATTGTGGTCACGCCATGATCCACTTTTAGCCACTGACTTGGTCCTGCTTGCTGCAGGACCTAGTGCCACGCCGTCCGAAGCGGTAATGAGCAGAGACAGGAGAGCAGCGTTGATTTATATCTTTAAGGTTCAAGCAGAATGATGTGCAACCAAGTGGTATTCGTTTATGATGACTGGGTTTGGGAAACAGGCTTAAAAAGTGATAAAATTATCATTTGTACATTTTCAAAAGTTTAATAACAGAAAAATTGGAGAAATGTTTTGTAATTGGTTCGTAATGTAATATCCTATCGATTGGCATATTTGGATTTAAATTTCATTTATAAATGACAAAGTTACAAGCGTTCAAAGCCTAACACTCCTTCACCACACATATTTTT